CGCCACCTCTCTCATATATTCCTTAGTAGTTAACACTAGCTCATGATAGATCACCCTGTTAAATAGAAGAGTTAGTATTGGATAATTCGAATTGAATGATGTAAAGCATATAATAAACCTACCATTCAGGACCCTTATTAAATAAAGCGCTGGAGGGGTGAATATACACTGGCGTACCTTCAACCAGGGTCTTATAACCTTCCTGTGGGTCCTTTTTTGCCGCATGACGGAAAAATCCACCACAAATTGCTTTGCGAACCTTAACATAATTCTTGCCACAAGAAATAATGTCTTGCTTATATCGATCCATTATACCTAAAAGTTGCTTACGAATATCTTGGCATCTTTTCATACTTCGACCTTGAATAAAGTTCTCGAAGCACCATGCATTGGAAAACTTACTAGCTTTCCAGGCGTTATATACTGTCAAAAGAGTTAAGTGGTCACCTTCTGGCTGATGAAATTTTGCTTTTTTTTGATCAGCAACAGCTTGTTTTTCTTTAGGTCTATAAAAAACATTTTGAACAGATAACATTGCGACTATCGTCAGGATTTCTTCAGAGCATCCGAGTTCAACCGATAAAATGAGCATCTTTGCAAGTGGAGGTTCTAGAGGAAATTCTGCCATCTTACGGCCTAGTCTAGTCAAGAGACCTTCATCATCCAAAGCGGAAAGGGCATAAAGTTGTTCTAATGCTGTGAGAAGGGTTTGAACAGGTGGTGGGTCCATGAAATCAAAATGCAAAAGGTCATTAATACCCATAGCCTTGAGTGTCAGCACTGTATGTGCGAGGTTAGTGCGTTGAATTTCCGGTACTGGATTTGGAAGCATTTCGTTATGATAAGCCGCTTCTGTATAAAGGCGATAACACCTAATAATGGTTTGCTATTAACAACCGTTTTATATCTTAATTATATAGTATATAATTGGTCTCGACACTTACTTTCCAGGACCTGTACGGCCAGCGCGACCAGAACGTTGTCGTGCTTGTGCTTGTGAAATAGGCTGTTAAAAAATAGATAGTCACAATCAATAAAATAATATACAAACCAGTAGAGAAGTTATAAGATAATACATACAGTAACAATTAAAGAATCCATTCCGACTTTAGCATCATAGGCATTTTGCTTTACAAAGCCTGGATCTACAACATAGTAAATCCCATCAATAGTAATTGATGTTTCAGCAATGTTTGTTGCGATTACAACTTTACGACTTCCTGGAGGTGCAGGCTCGAAAATTCGCGATTGCATTTCACCAGGCAAAGCTGAATATACTGGTAATATAACTAAGTCGGGGACTTGAGGCCCGAGAGCTTTCATTCGCTCATATAAAATCTCGGATGCTGTGTCAATTTCTTCCTGACCAGTCAAGAAAAGAAGGATATCGCCG